CTGACTTACTCAAAATTATCGAGAAAAGAAAAAACCTTAAGTCTTTATTTTCTTCACTAGTTATCCATCATGCAACATTATCCCATATATATTGGATTCCTCTTTAATATCTTAAAGGAAGTGTTGTGAATGTTGTAACCATACAGAACGGGAAGTTGCAATGTCCCTGATACGGTTGAACCTGCTCTTCGGTACCTTAAAGAGCTCAGAATGTGAGGCTGATGGAGGCGTTACAACTCGTGACCTGAAGCCTCTTCTCCCTGGCTGCTGCGCTGACAAGCAACGCCTCCACTGCTCTGTCATTTTCCAGATAACACTCGCTGCCTCAGTGTCACGTCTGTCCAGCACCTTGTAAAAGCGGGACATGATAGTCGAGAAGGTCAAAATATAACATAGAGGCCCCCATGTCTTTCTGCCTGCCTGTGGAAGACTTCACAGGCAGGCATTTCCTGTTGACTTAGAAATTCACAGTTTTCCATCTCAGGATTAGTCCTTCTTCTGGGAAAGATAAACCAGAATGGGGGGGGGGGGGGGGGGGGGGGGGGGGATACTTGGACATGTTGGTTATTAAATGTTTGCTTAATTAACTAATTTTATGAAGACGCCTTATAAAATGTAGTAATTGCTGCTTATTTACAGGTTGCAGAGATGGCAAAAGTACTCACTTTCCGTACTTGAGTAAAAGTACAGATACTTGTGTTAAAAAATACTCTGGTAAAAGTGGAAGTACTGATTAAACTTCTTTACTCAAGTAAAAGTAACAAAGTACAGGCTTGTAAATTTACTTAAAGTATAAAAGTAAAAGTAGAAACCACTTTTTTCATGCCGTTGCCTACATTTTAAATGGATGTCTGCCAATAGGACTAGATCTCCGTTGTGTTCATTTTCAATCATCTCGTCGTCCATACTACTATGCTAACGCCACCGCCACCAAGCTGCAATGATTTGCCGCGAATTAATACCGCCGAATCTGTCGATTCATCTTGTAGTGGTGCGTCAAATGCAACGTAGATTCCCATCCAATTAGACTGAATTTGGTATTTGTGAGAAAACGGCTCACCAGCTCCCGTCTCACGTCAGAGGAGGAGTAAGTAGATGACTTGCAAAAAGGTGGTAAGAACCAGCGGACAACAAAATTCCAGTTCAAAAGCGTGTAGCGGTTTATTTACTGGTGCAACGGTGAAGACAAAAAAAAAAAAAAATACTTTCAAATAAAGAAAACAAAACCGGCCATTGCAGGCAATACAAAACACTGACAGCCTCACAGCAAGCTGACTTTATATATAGTCTCTCTAAGCAGACCTTCAAGAGCAGTTTCTCCAACCAGTCTCTCCAAGCAGACCCCTAAGCCATTGGGAGTGTGCCCCTTAAATAGACCCACCAATAATCAGCCAATTGGGACAGCCCAACTAAACAGGAAGGGAAATCCCCAATAAAGCACAGTTAACATTGTAGAAAAAATGGAAAATGATATATGTTCATAACTACTCGCCACACTCCTCTATCATATGAAATAATAGATTTATTCTACATCGCAATAAGTCATTATTCTACAAAGATTGGATGGAGAAGAATATTTGGTCTATTATACACTTAATGGACACTAATGGTTACATATTAAATTACGAACAATTCTGTACAAAATATCAGTTCCTTCCTCCAAAAGATGAATTTACAAGATTACTTGACGCCTTGCCAGAACAATTTATTAATCAGATTCAAAATATAATAATATATCATCCAATTACCCCCAAACTACCCGATTTATCTATTAATGGAATATCAATCACTGATAAAAAATTCAATAACCCCACAATTAGAAACTATCTAAATGAAACTTTGTTCCCTGGGAAAATAAATAAAAATAACATTCTTTGCAAATTTGAACAAAAATCAATTGAAATACCAAGAACTTTTTTTTTTAAACTTCCTATACAACCAAAAGCTAAAGAAACTGCCATCTACCCATCAAAAGAACTACTAAGAATCCGTTTTAATATTGATGACAATAAATGCTCATTCTGTGAAAGTGATGTAGAAACTATAGACCATGTCTTCTATGAATGCAGTCAGACTAAAACATTTTGGAATTGTTTAGAAAGATGGATCAAATCAAAAATTGCACTCCCTAATTCTATTTCTAGAGATATGGTAGTTTTTGGAATACTATTGAAAGACAAAACAATAGAACTCTGTTGTAACCTAATTTTTTGTTTAGCAAAATTCTTTAATCATAAACAGAGAGTCTTGAGATCCTCCCCTATCTTTAGTATTTTTTTATCTGAATTTAATTTATATTTGACATCTCTTGAATGTATCGAATCTTACAAATACCTGACTGAAATACTAATGGAACTGCCCACTGATGTACATTAATCCTAACATATGAATCCCCTTGTCTTTATGTTATTTTATTGTATTATTAGCATTACTCACGCATTTTTTATTTTCCTCATCAAAGTTACTTTGTATTTTCATTCTGAAATCTGCCTCTACTATGCCTTCTATAGAATTAGAATTCTAATGTTCTTATTGCCTAACTTGTTTCTACCCACCTTGTTTAAATAAAGTTCATTAAAAAAAAAACATTGTAGAAAAATAAATACAGACAATAGCATCATTCATACAAAAACATACATATTAATGAAATAATTTAACCATGCTAACATTACCAATTTACCTACTTATTACCATGCAAACAATTATTACATTCATTGAAATCCCACTTAACACCCCTGCCCCCTAATAGTCTTTTTCAATGCCCTGGGACAATGGATAAGAGACTGGCTCCGATGCGGTACGTGTTTCCACACGGACCAGTATGCTGACGGACTAAGGGAAGAGAATGTGTAATTTGACTGGGAAGTTTTATTACCGACTACGGAATGTATATTAAAGCTGTCGCAGTGGGTACCTTCAGAGTTTGCTACGCTGGTGAGTAAGTAAAGTGTTGAATGAAAGGTGACGTTGTAATTTCGGAACTAGTGTAAATTACCTGGTGAATTGTTTGGAACTGCCGCCGCCATGATGGCCGGTTTGTGGTGAATGCTGGGAAATGTAGTGAAGGATGTGACGCTGTGCGTGATAGACAGCGGCTACACTTTGGGAACAGAGGGGGAAAACGGCTCCGTTTTCACAGTGACGTGAAAAATAATAACGGTAACTCCATTAAAATGATTCAAAACTAAAGTAACGAGCCAATTTTTTTAAATGTAAGTAGTAGAAAGTACAGATATTTGTGTAAAAATGTAAGGAGTAGAAGTAAAAAGTCGCCATAAAAATAAGTAGTAAAGTAAAAATATCAGAAAAATCTACTTGAGTACAGTAACGAAGTATTTGTACTTCGTTACTTCCCATCTCTGACCGGTTGTAAAGCACTAGTGGCTTGTTTTTTCCGCTGGCAGGAAAAGCAGGTCTGAGAAAGGGGGAGAGATATGCGGCAAAGGGCCACAGGTCAGATTCGAACCTGGGTCGGCCACGTCAAGGACTAAGGCCTCCATACGTGGGTTGTGTTTGCTAACCGCTGCTCCTCCGAAGCGTGTCCCCTCTTATTCATCTTTCCTGTAACCTTGAAGTTCTGCTTATCAGGGCTGGTCTGCAGCTGTAAATCTTTCCTGGGGGAAACATCGGCTGCTATCATAGCCAGTAATGTGATGTTCTCTCAATGGATGCTGTACTATCATCCATATACAAAGCAATTGGGTGAACTACTGTCAGTAACCAGTAACTCTTAACTTTCTTAATGCATGAAAAGTTCCTTTCGGTAAATGTGCTTACTTGTATGTAAACCATATTCTTAAACTGTGGCTTGGTTGCCTCAGAAGGCCGCTCAGTGAGCCTTTCTAATGAGGGTTTCTTATAAGTGGACCTTTCCTCTCCACTGTCACTACAACGCAGGCTGAGTATGATTAATCGCTGCAGTCCGCTACATGGAAAACTCTCCCAGCCTGCAAATTAACTGAACCTGAAGAGAAGCGAGAAGAAGAGAGAGGTTGTTGATTTTGAAGGCAATAGGGTTAACGATATTTCTGTATGGTTATTTTTGTTCCATCAATGTTGCAAATAACACATTTTGAGAAAATTGAAATTTGGAAGAAAAAAAAAAATCAATCCAGAAGTTAAACTTAAAAAAAAAAATACACTTTTCTTCAAAATTTCTGTCAGTTTGTTTTTGTAGTCTCCATTAAGGCCTGTGTTGAAATCCAGCATCATAATTAAAACTAACACTGCAAGATATTCAGCTTTTAAAAGCATTATTTTACAACAGATGAGTAAAAACAAAAAAATTCTGGTATTTCATTGGAATTTATACAAAAGAAAAAGCCTAGATTAAACTTAAAACGTCAAGAATTGATCGGCATTAGGAATATTTGTTGAAAATATTTTGATATAAAAGAGTTTATAAAAAAAAAAGACCGAATATCAAAAATATCCAATTCATTTATTAAACCATGATTCATTTAATAGAAAAATGCAATGTTAACTGAATCCATTGGGGGGGGGGGGGTAAAATATATCTAAAACCTCACAAATTTATGCACCATATTAACATATTTTTTTCTTAAGTTTAATTTAACATTTTAAAAGAAATGTAAGTTCATCTTATTCTGCATGGCCATGAAACCTTCAAAAAGAAAAAAAAAGTCCTGTAAGTACTGTTCAAACTGCAGCAATCACCTTTACTAGGTTTATAAGAAAAAGTGCATTTTTGAAGTGATTTATTTTTTATAACAAAGAACAATGAACCAAAACTAAAAAAAAAATGCAACCGCTTTTGGCATTTACATAATCATAGTTACTTTAACACAATTGTTTTATGTCCTACCCTGCTAACATGAAACAATTGTGTTAAACTAAATATGATTAAGGAAATGCCAAAAGCAGCTGCAATATTTTTTTTTCAGTGAAGGGAATGAAAAAAAGTGATAAATTAAGTTTTTTTTTTTATTAATCTAAAGCAACAAGTTTAAAAATGAGCTGAAAGAATACAAACGAGTCTGGTTAGAAAAAAGGAAATCATTTATTAAACATAACCATATCGGCAGAACAGCCAACACACATAGCATCGGATTCAGGTCACAATCACTCACTTTCAGTATATACAGATAGGCACATTCACATTAGGCGTTAAAGCCAGCCACAGCGGGTACTGTAGGTCCAAACCAGTGGCAGGTTTGGTTGTTGCCTCAGTCCAGCAGGGAAGAATAAAAACTAAACATTTTCAGTCTGGTTACTGGTTTCCTCTGGTCCAGCGTCCGTTCACCTGGAGAATGTAAAAGTTTGGGTTTGAAGCTGCATGGGGACACCGGACCCCTAATTCACCACCGTAATGTGCTCACTGCGAATTCATGGGGTCACCAGAACAGCGGCGAGCCGTTCTACAGAGGTCACAGTCCGAGCGACGCAGTGATTAGGGAAACACACACAGCATGTCCAAGTCTAAAAGACTTTAGCTCCACAAAAAGAAACCAAACAAATCTGAGCAGTTTGTGTGAAATAATACATTTACAAAAATCGTTATAAGTAGAAAAAAAAAACTTACATGGTCTAAACTCAACTGTTTAATTTGATGAGAACACAAATATTTAACCAAAACTGCTACAACTAAGGCTTTAACTTTGCAGTACTAGACTATAAAAACAGGGGAAGAGGACACTTGCAAAGAAGTGCTACGTATTCACACTATCCGCATCCTTTATGCTCAACAGGATCCTTCGCTGCAGGAAGGCGGCGAATAATCAACAAAGACGAGAAAGAAATGTCAGCCACAAAAATCCATCATACAAAAAGGAAAAATGGAATAAATTAAGTCATAGAGGTTTGGATCAAACCTCTATTGATGTGTAAAATAACAGACCTGCCTCTGATTTTTTTTATTTTTTTATGCATAAATGGAAAGGTCTGGGTTTAATCCTCTGATAACGCTACAGATCAGGAGTGAAGGTTCTGCTGACATCCAACAAGGACGCAGCATGTTAGACAGGGCGGTCAGATTTGAGCAAAAAAAACAAACAAAACAAAAAACGGCTCCGTTCTGTCCTGAGGTCGGACCCAGACGTAGCCAGACAGCAGGGTGTAACGAGGCGCAGCAGAAAGCGGGGCGGTAGGAGGGAATTAAGGCAGCCTAGTTGATTGAAAGCTTTAAAGATAACACCTGGAAGAGAATCTGGAGTGAAGGAAACGTTTGACAGGAAAATCAGACATTTTTCTTTACCTTGAAGAAAAAAACTGACCTACAAAGATGTACAGAACTTAATCAAATGGGTCTGAATGCGCTTTAATTGGTATGGATCTAACCACGTTTATTTTAGCTAGCTGGAAAACCACATGGAGACTCATACTGGTTATTAAAAGGATGAAAATAAATTATAATATAAGTATAGGCCAGATCCTAGGAACAGAAAATATATCTAGGTGGCGCAGACAACTATGTGTGGAAACCGTTGCTAAGAAGTTGTCGGCCATTTTTTCTTTCGGATTGGTGAATAATTTAAAAGAAAAGGCGTTTCAGCAGCTCTGCCATCTTAAAATTAGGTGCGAGACTTTAGTTAAGACCAGAGATGAAAGCATTAGAGGGAAAAAAAGAAAAAAACTTTTATCCTTAAGGGATCGGCTACAGGAGGAAATGACAGAAATGTACCAACCCTGGTTAATGCAAGCAAGGAGAAGCAGAAATGCTAAACCACCTAAGGTTTAGATAATAAAGACGGAATAAAAGGTCAGTGAAATGTTGAAACAGAAAGGTAGAAATAAAATGACTAATCTGAAGAATGAGACTGCTTATTCTGAATATATTGAGTAATAAAAAAAATGCTTTTTAAATGGCATGTTACATTTTCAGGTGTGCAAAATATTTGGGTTTTTCCCCCCCAAATAATTAGCTCCATCATTCCCTAAAGCAGAACAAGATCCTTAACTTTCTCCTGCTGTTTTCTACCAAATTCTTAAAAGCAATTGTCAGCAATTCAACTTTTTAGTACTAAGAGATTGGACAACTAATAAAATTTTGTGCATGTGGATCAGAGCTTCCAAAAATAGGGAGATTTTGGAAATTGACCAAGATATCTGATCAGTGCATTTCTAACACATCTAGATAAATACAGGTTTCTAAACAGCTGATAGATTAGATTGTGTTTGAGTACTTATATGTAGATATATAGTTTATTACTTTTTCAACCATTTCTAAGACATCCTGGGTTTGGATAACCTGAACAATCCCTTGTTTTTCTGTATTGACGATCGAGCAGGAAGTGGATTCCAACTATAAGTGCGTCCATGTTTTCACCATGTGGGATGAAAGGAATACCTTAAAATAAAAATAAAACCCCCACTGAATAAAAAAATAATGTATGGAATTAATGCTTTAATTGATGCAATTCTCTCCTTCATAGAAAACAGCGTGCAGTGTGCCGGCCCTCACACAGACGAGCTGAACGTCAAACGTCTTACACTAAGAACTGCAAACTTCTTCCAGACGCGTTACCCTAATGAACTGAAAACACGGTGGGTTTTTTGGGTTTCATTTCAAGAACAGATTTCCTGGTGGAACAGTTGATATCACCTAGTTTCAGGCTGCAATACTTTCTCCACACTTTCCTGTGTCCTTTTATTTTTATTTATCTTTCTAAACCGTTTTTCTCTCTTGTAGTGAGAAGTGTTTCCTTCTGTTTTTTCCAATCAAGTGACAGTGAGGAGGATATGGATGTGAAAGTGTTTTGAATCTATTAGTGGTGACTCGGGGGATTACTGATATCTCTTTGTCCAAGCTGTGGGTTTGAGAACTAAAATCTGTATTTCAGATTCCTTCAAATCCACGCCATCCTCGACATTTCTGGGTGCGTTTCCGCCTCCATCTTCCTTCTTTGTCCTTCGCCTTCCTTTTCCTCCAGCTTCTGAAACCAAAAGCTTTTTCCTCTGAATTAATTTTTGAGGCAGAAGTTACAGTCTGGGCTGCTTTTCACCTCCACTGTAAGCATCCTCTACTTGCAGTGGGTGTCCCTCACCAGGAGGAAACAATAAGTCACAAGAGTCGGTGAAGAGACGAGGATAAAGACAGCTTAAGGGGGAAAACGTACAACTAGATAACCCTAAATGTTCCTCTCAGGTTCTACTAAAAACAGTCTAGGCAGGTGCTACTCTCCTCCGTCTTCTTCACCGCGGCTGTCCTCTTCCTCATCTTCCTCCAGGAGTGGCTTGTCTGTGTAAATGTCTCTGACCAGGAGGACTCTGGTCAGGAGGCTTTCTAGGATCTGGCGCTCCAGGGGAGTGGAGCTGAACCACACGGGGTCAGCGGGGCTGCAGGTGGGATCGGGCTGAACATAGAAGACGTCGAGGCGCTCCCACAGCAACGGTGGACTGGGAGGAGGAAGGAAAGGGAGCAAAGAAGGGAGTAGCAGACAGGGAATAAGATTTGAGCAAAAGAAGCAAAGGAGGAGAAATAATGGGATAAGAAAAAAGAAAGTGTAAATATATTTCACCAAAAATTAAGAAAGTTTAAATAAACCTGCGCTTTAAGTCCTCATCTGTAATCAGTCAACAGTAAAGTTCAGGATGTGAACAGCAAAGAGTTCTAATCACAGGACTTTAGAACCATTCTAATAGCAGCAGAACATTTGCATATCCAGTCTGATTTTTTTCCTCCTTTTATTTCTGTTTTGAACAATCTATGAATAAAAACCAGGCTGAAGCAATTCGATTCATTTCTTGGCAATTGCCTGCTAAATTTTTAACTGGAGTATAGACTCCAACCAATGCCATTAGCTTAAAAGACACCACATTCAAAGCAGTGAGTTATATTGTATAAAGAAAAAAATGGTACATAGTGGAAAAAATAAAAATTCAATCAGGAAATTATTCAATCTTTAGGAAATCTATATTATATGAAAAAAATATATTAAGTAGTTTTATCATATATATTAGTTTCATTTATAAATTAGCTTTAAATTATTTAAGTGGAGTTAACAAATGTCCTCTTTAAAGCCTTTAAAATGTGCGACCACTGGTGCCTGCAGGGTGCTTGCTCAAATTCAACTTTAACTCACATTTTCTGGTGATGTTGCTTTAGGCTTTATCTCAAACTTTTATAGATATCAGAATTTTAAAATCTTTAACAAGAGTATTTTTCTCTCCTACAAACAGTTTTCTATGATTTTAACTCATGATGAAATGGCTTTAAAGTAGAATTAGTATTTCTTTTTGCACAAATGTCAGCTGGAAAACTAGCAAAAAAAAGAAAAAAGAAAAAAGCAATAGGAGCGAGATAGTTGCACTAGAAGAGGAATGAAGCATATTTACCATTTGGATCTATAGAGCTCATAGAGACGACACTCGTGTTTCTTTACCGGGCAGTGAACAGACGAGCCCCCCGAGCCCTCGTTTTCCTCCTCTTCCTCTTCGTCTAGCTTACGCTTCCTCTTCCTAGATGCTGTCGGTACCTCTCCTAAACATTTAGAATAAAACAACCATCTTGAGGAAATGTTGTGAAATACTGAAATTAGACTTCCAGTTATTTAAAAGATTTAAATAAATTTATTTCTGAAAATGGTAACAAAACTCCTCTCAAAAACCAGAGATCTCTTCTATTTTATTTATACTGTTGCAGAAAACATTCCATAACAGCAAAATACAGCCTGTAACTTAATTCTAGCAGTCTATTTATTTTAGTCCGTGCCAAATGTTCAACCATGAAGTTTACGTTTTTTCTCTACTAATAACATTTACTCTAATTATCAAATGTAATGTGAGGCTTAAGACAAAGTAAAATTGGAAAAATTTTTCCTCAGTGATCTCAATCTTAGTGGAAGGCAGAAAAAACCTTAGCTTCTGCTATAAAAAAAAAAACATTAAAATATTCTTCAAAGCGAAAAAGGCCAAAGTAAGATAAGATCCGACTAAAACAAAGTTATAACAAATCAGAAACAAGCAGCCTAGCTTTAATTTGGAAAAGGAAACTAATTTGTAACTTCCAAAAAATGGGGGGAAAAAAGTCAACCAGTTTTAGGGGAAGCAGCAAGATCTCTGGATTTCAAATCCATCGATGTTTCCAGACTTACTGTGGTGATCCTGAGAGATGGAGGGAACCCGGATGCAGACGCTGCTCTCCTTGCTGACAGGATGGATGGTGTCCGGCCCGTAAACGTTAGCGAAGGAGAGGCGCAGGTGCTGTTCCACTGTGCGCAAGCCAAAGTATTTAGTGTTCAGGTAAACCAGAGAGCGTAGCAGGGAGGCTGGACTCTGCTCCCCGAGGTGCTGGCCGCTCCACAGGCTCTGCTCCTCCACTCGTCCCCACAGCGAGCCTGAACAAAGCACATCATGTAAGTAACCACCCCATCACATGATTACAGTGTGGCACTGCCTAGGCTAAAAGCTCCAACTCCTGCATGTCCTCATATAACTTTAAAAATGCAATCACAGAGCATCAGGATGTGAACAGCAGAAAGGTTATAATCACTGGACATGTGTGCTAGCAGCAGCAGACAGGCCAACATTCAATCACACCCTTGTCCTCCATGTTGCCACTTCACTGTGTCATTATGTTATCAGTGAGAAGTGATTTGGTTTCCAACCGCAGCAATGAGATGCAGCTTCACATGTTTAACTGATAGCCTCAAGCTTATTGTTTAATTCATTACATGGTTTTGCCATCAGTATTTAGAAAAACTAATATTTGAAGTGAATCTTGTGTCTGGCTGCTCTTACCATCAGGAAGCACGCTGGGCTGCCAGTCTTTGAGCACCTTGTTGAGCTCCTCTCCAAACTGCTGGTAACAGGGATCACTGAACAGATCATCCTTCCGGCCTTTGGCATGAAGATGCTTTAAAACAAACAAAAAAAAAACAAAAAAACGAATTGGTTCAGCAGACAAAGTTGGGTTTTCTAAGGGCGCGTGGAATAAATTAAGATTTGGTGCCCTCATATTAAAGATCAACATCACAGTTTTTCAGGATGTGAACAGCAATAGATATAATCCCTGGACACAGCAAAGATAACGAACACAGATTTACATTCAGGGCATATTTTAAACAAAAGGGGGGGGGACACGTTTTAAACTCAAAGAAAACATTTTAAAACCGTGAATTTAGTAAATTCTTACATTTCTCTGGCGGAAAATGAGATTATCTCACGAGTTTGGAGGGATATTTGCTCCTCGCTGCAGCCACGCTCTGTCCTCACGTGGATGAGGGGGGGGAAAGACCGCGCACCGATAAAAGCGTTCCTACTAGAAACACCAACTCTAAACTTGGTTCCTACCTCCAAAAATAAAAAGGCAACGAAATCCTGAGCTTGTTCATGATGCACATTTGTTATAGGTAAGCTTTACATTTGTAGAGTTAGTTCTTCTTTAACTTCGTTTAGTTTATGCAAGTTTCTCTATACTATAGTAAACGTTTAAGCTAAAAAAAACATTTTCACCTATGATTCATTATACCAAATTATGTAATAATCAGAGGTGTCAAGTAATGAAGTACAAATACTCCATTACTGTACTTGAGTACAGTATAGGTATCTATACTTTACTCCATTACTTGTTTTTCTTCCTACTTCTGACTTCTACTCATTACTTTTTCACACATGTATCTGTACTTCCTATTCCTTACATTTTTAAAACAAACGTTACTCGTTACTCTTGGCTTCAGTTCAATGTTTATATTTATTTCATGTCATGTGCGCCATTCCAATGCAGATCATTGACATGGTCCACATCTAGTGAAAACTAGCGTCATTGGATGAGTCATACAACGCAAACACTCATTGGTTACCTACACAAAATCATTAGAAGCAAGCAACTGTTCTTCAAACTGTAAAAGTGAATTGTCTATGCCAGGGGTGCTCAAGTCCAGTCCTCAAGAGCTGCCACCCTATAACTTTTAGATGCATCTCTTCTCTAGCACAGCTGAATCTAAAGCCTCAATCCCCTAATTTAGCTCAGCAGAGGCAAGGTAATGAGCCACTCTTTGATTCAGGTGTGTTAAAAATGGTTGCTTCAAAAAGTTGCAGTTTAGTAGCTCTTTAAAACACCTATCATCAACCAAGAACACCACTGTCTGTCCAGGCTAGAAGTGTTTTTTATTACTATCTGCTAAATGTTGAATAATCAGTTCTGGTTTATTGGAGGAGGTATGTTGATTAAAACAATAACGGAACAAAATTCCCAGATCGGCTTCAGTGCTTTATCGATTCAGTACTGAGAGAACAGCTTTACGTTACAAATGAAGCATTAAGGAAAAAGGGAAAAAAAGGGAGCAGTATATAATGCATTGTTTCATGTGAAAGGGTTCCATTTACAACACTACTAAACTTAAAGACAGCTCCCCCCGTCTTTCATTACTAGATTAACTGATTAATCGAGGTGTGCCTGACCTCAGTAACCATGGCCAGACACACCTGAATTAATCAGTTTGTCCAGTAGAGAAAGACGGAAAACAAACAAGTTTCCTTAAATTCACTAAGTAGTGGCGTTGTGCATAGAGCCCATTTATCCATTAGCTCTGGGCTAATGGGCTCTATGCCCAACTCCACTACTGACCTCAGTAACCATGACGACATTGGCCTGACACACCTGGAACAGCTTGTTCCATAATGAAAGACAGGAAACTGAGGTGCTGGCTGGAGTTCAGGAAGTAGTGAAGTTGGGCATATAGCCCATTATTTCTGCTTTATTTAGAAAGGTTATGATTCTGGGATTCTACCATTTAAAGGGTAGGGGCAGGGGTCCTCAACGTTTTCCAGGCCAAGGACCCCCAAACTGATGGAGAGATGGAGTGGGGACTCCCTAATTATATATATTGGATGAAATTGTGTTATATCAAACTGGTCCTATAGTCACTCTAATACATATGGAGTTATGTAATGAAAGTAATTTCTCCCTGGGATTATTAAAAGATTTCTGATTCCTGGTTGATGGGACAGGTGTTGTGAATGAAACGGTGCCCAGATTGAAAGAGCTCCTGTGTGTCGCTGAATGTGAGCATTGATGACTTAAAGACATCTTCTGCCTCCATTTATCTGTTAACTACAGTGTGTTGAATTCATGTTAATGTGGATTTAAAGACATTTTAATTGGTGGAAAAATTTGCAGGGGGAATATACAAAAAAAAAAAAAAAAAAATTCCAATGAACCAAAACTTTCATGACCCCCATGCAGTACCTCTGTGGACCCCCCTGTTGAAGACCTCCGGTTTAAGGTACTGACCTGCTGTATTCCCAGACAGAGGTAGAGGATGCTGTCTGGAGAGTAGCGCTCCCCGTTGGGCCTGCAGGCCTCCCGGACAAATCGGGACAGTGCAACATTCAGCTCAGCTGCTTTTAACGTCAACAGGTTACTTTTCGACCGTGCTGCAAGAGAGGAAAACAAACAGAAGACAAACAAACTTAAGCTTTAGGGAGGGAGACATATCGAACATGTAATCAAAGTAATGGCAAACCTCAACAGCTTTCCAGCTCACTGAGTGTTAATGTATCAGGGGACGGAGAGGGATGGGTGGCAATGAGTAAAAGCTGCAGCTTAAGTGAGTTAACTTATGTTCTGATAATATCATTTAATTCAATAAATGACTTTATTATTATTAGATGAATCTGAGGTAATACCCCGTGCTGTGTGATGAAACAGACTGGATTCATTTCAGTTTCATAATAGAAACATTATGAATGTTATTTCAGCAGATTTAAAGCTGTCATTCTACTTAAAAATCTGGACTTTTCCGTAATCATTTTTTTTATGGTCTGGACAAGAATGTTTATAAATCAGGCAACATAAAAACACTAAGGAAATAATCAGATATTTTCAGATTGAGCTGCATCAAGGAGCTTTTCACTTTTTTTTAGTATCTCCATCAGTTTAGATCAGCGTTGTTTCTAAATCTGGAAAACCTGGGCTGAATTTTTCATCTTTTTGTTTCATTCAAATCTCAAACTGTGATCTTGGATATCTCTAATTATTAAAAATAATAAAGTACGAGTTTGTTAGGTTTCCAAAGGAAATCCAGCACAGGGTTCCTACAGCATAAGGCAAGTTAAATTCAAGACTTTTTAAGACTTTTTAATGCCACTTGAAATAAAAATTTAAGACCAAATTCACAAGAAACACAAGAAAAACCCACTTGCAACAACTTAACCCAAAGGTTTATTTTAACATAAACCACTGCATTAATGTTTCAAATTTTGAAAAAACTTCCCATACAGGAAGAAAGCTAAAAACAAATAAATGACAGATATATTTTAACAATTATTTAACTGAATTCACAAACTTAGTTTTAGCAGGGAACAAAACAAATCAGTTTTAAAGCCACAACATAACCGGTGCTAAGTCTTTTTGCTTCTATTTTTCTTTGTATCGTTTTCTTAGTATGTTTGATTGGTGATAAGTGGAGGCGTTGCAGAGACAAGCGTGGAACAAAACTGAGAAATACCGTCTGTTTCTCAGTAACTCGATTTTGACGCTTTGTGTTTCATGCTTCGCAATGTGCGACTCCACTGCCTTAATTCCCATCGTTCCAAGCTTGAATCGCTTCTTGCACAAAATACACTGTGCCTCATGTATGTTCCCTGGTTTTAGCCATGGAGAAAACTCTTGGCTGGAGACAATTTTCTTTACATTTACACTTGCTCATATTTTCCAGACAAAAAGTTAATGGTGCATCTCCCAAATGTTCCGGCCGCAACAACGCTTTTATTGGTTCCGCTATCAGGAGGGAACCAATAATGGTGAGCAGTTTTTTTTGTTTTTTTTTATATATATATAAAAAAAAAAAAAAAAAAAAAAAAATTCAATTTTAACGTTTTATTTAGATTACAAAAATAAATCGTAATAAAAATAATACTATTCATGATGTTTTAAAAATTAAGACCTACGAAAGACTGATTTAAGACATTTTAATACCAATTAAGGCCTTAATTTTATCTTGAAGAATTCAATGCCTTTTAAGACTGCAGCATAAGAACCAAATTTTCAGGGTTATTTTGTCAGAGATTCAGTTCTTATCTTTAACTTAATGGAATATGGAGTGAATAATTTGTCAAATTTCTCTTACTCTTATTCTTTATTCCATCCTTAACAGGAGAGATGGACCCATACGTCAGCCGGACGATACATTTTGCCGATATTAACTTTTTTTCTCCTTACGGCATCCCATTCTGATTCACACACATATATTCATGTGTGTGAATCAGAATGGGGATGACTATTAGTTCCTTGCGGGAAATTCTTTTTTTTTTTGCAGTGCAACCGTTTACAAAAGAGAGAAAAATAAGATTTTTAGTACAACAGAGCAAAATATAATATAATATAATAAGACGGAATGGAGTAAATTTACACCCCTCCCCTATAAACAGTGTATTGCAACCCTTCCCATATAAACAGTGTAAAATAAGTGCATCCTAAAGACAAAACCCAAGACCTAATATGAGCGGAGTGGTGTATGCAATTCAGTGCAGTGAGGAATGCTCTGATCTTTATATTGGGGAAACCAAACAACCTCTCCACAGACAAGTTACCTCCTTCGGACAAGACTCTGCTGCACATCTACACCTATTGGACAAAGGACATCGATTTGAGGACCATTTTTACATTTTGGGCAAAGAAAACAGGTGGTTTGAAAGGGGTGTCAAGGAAGCCATTTATGTTAAAAAAAATCAACATAAAAACAGAGGGGGTGGAATCAGGTTCCAGCTTTCAAAAACCTACAATGCAGAGATATAGTTGATTGCTTCCTGCTATCGTCACAACCGCCCACCCCCATACAAGACAACAAGTCCCTTTTCAGAGCCATATACCAGAATCAGGTATTGCAGGCTAACAAAGAACCCAAACGACTCCCTATTTCTAAGAGGCGGACCCGTTCCTCAGGTTCCGTACTCATACTTTTCTAAGCCAAATCAAGGCTTTGTTTGGGGCTCATCTATAAAGCTTTGAATTCTGACATTTTGAATTGAAGCTTTCTGGATGGGAATCGAAACATCTTCAAACTTGGAAACAAAGTCCAGTGGATTGTTTTTTTTTTTACTTTTTTGGAAGGAAATCTATGCAGGAATTAAAATGGCATTTAGCTTACTTGGTTTGGAGGTATCTTTTTCTTTGGCGTCTTCTGATTGGTCGGAGAGGGACAGCGCCCAGCGTTTCCAGGCATTGATGCCGTAGCGGGATTTGAGTGGCAGCGATCTGCCTTCTAAGTTTCTACTTGAATGTGATGGAGAGGATGAGCGCAAATCTTCCAGGGCCCTCCTTTTACTTCCCTGTAAAAGACGAAGAATCAAGCAGAGCTGACCCCTAGAATAACCCTGTTATATGTATATGTCCATGTCTACATACCAGTTTTCTGGGTTGTGGTCGAGGTACTGACTCCTGGAGGTCCTCCTTCTCCTCTGCTAGGACTGGAGGCAAAGAAAAGCCCATATCCTCATCCATTCCTTCCAGCGCTGGAACAGGTTCTGATGCTGAGAAAGATTGATACACAGTGAAATGTTCATTAGTTTGTTTAAAAATCATTTGAATCTATGCAGAAACTAATTGGGTAGTCCTCAGGAGATATGTTTATTTCAGAAATTCCCACATTTGTGTGTGCATACACTCCTGAACGGTACTGAATCCTTCCCTAATCCTTCCCCACCTACTGCAGACATCAGCAAATGGATGGAAATAAATCTTTGTTATGAAAAACCTAAATCAGGATCAAAGCTGTGCTCAGTTTCACAAAGCAGGTTTAACAAACGGACTCAAATCCTCAACTCTGACTTGATCGAGCCTGAGAAACCAAATTTTTGGTTTCATAACAGCTGCTGTGAGTTAGTTCATTCGACTCAGAGTAGGTCCACTCAGAGGTAAGCACGTGCTTCACAAGTATAAAAAAGCTATGTTTAGTGTAGCCCATATTCGTCAAGTCACCATGACAACAGGCAACAGGAAGTGCCAAGTTAAGCCCAATGGAACTAGAGACTTTAATGCAAAAATGAAAAAAAAAATGAATGGAGAATGTGTGTTAAAGAACAAGCAGCAGCACTACAGCTGCAGAGGAGAGGAAGATGGTGAAGGAGAAAATTGCTGCTTGAGTCTATGTGTAAGTTTATATGAAGTCAAGTATGGCAAGCCGTTTTGACATTTGTTAAAAGTACTCTTTGTTGTTCCATTTTAGATCACTTAAAAAGGATTTTCTGGTCAAAATAACATTCCAAGTCAGAAACAGAGGTGTATGGCAATTAGTTACATTTACTCAAGTCAAATATATATTTTAGGAGTAGTTTAACGCCATTGTACTTTTTACTTTTACTTGAGTACAAATCCTGTTAACTACATCCATTGTCGGTAATTTCACTTAATAAAAACAAGATTATTCTAAACAAATACGCACCATTAAGACACACTTTCTTGTTTTTTGTACTCAAGACTTATTGGTTAATAGATTTTATTTGTTGATTTTTGTAAGTTTTATAACTCAAAAAATATAAAATCAGTTGTTAAGATCATGGGTATTAAGTTTACGAGTTGCTTAGTACTTAAGTAATCTAGTAGCTTTTACCAGAGTAAAACTATAAAGAAGTAGTGCTACTCTTAAGTACCATTTCTGGGTATTCTACCTACTTCTTGGCAGAACTGTAATAATAGAGGTTGTAAATTACAGTTTTGCCAGCAGAAACTTAAATTTCATAAAGTATAAAAACAAAACAAAATTGAACTAATAAGAATTATGTTATATACCTAATGTTTATACACTTTAAGGGGTTGTTTTAATATTTAGCAGCTTGACCAAATATGTATTTACAATATCTATCATGTCATGATCGGTACCAATAGTCATTTGTTTGAAATGTTCAAAAATTATTGTTTTAACAGGTAGGACCTGTGCATCATCTCACAGGGTTATTCCTCATTTTGATCCTGTTTCACAATACATATTAAATACTAAGTGGCTCTTTGACTGTGCAGTTATTTTCTATAATGCTGTTATCACACGTCAATGTTCTCACATCAAGTTCTGTATATTCCTTTTAAAGAAGTCAAGGCTCCAAATGTGAGAACCAATAACGTCATGGATATCCATGATGGATTGTGAGGTGAAATTGTAGCGCTCATAATAATTTCTAAATATAAAGGACAGTTTGAGAACCCTCTGCTAGCCTGTGTATGTTTTTATTTAACTTATTTATAAGTTCAGTACATCTCTGCAGTGCAAGTGCAGTAATCCAAGTTAACTACTGTGTAGTTTTCCCTTAGCTCTACTGTGCAGATGTTTTTATATTTAAATATTCCAGGACATTAAAACTTTTTTTTTGTTTTGCTTTTTTGTACTATATATAATCTTTTTATATTGTCTGTTGTATTTTTATCTTTAATAGAATCTTGCTTTACCTCTTTGTACTCAATAAAAGCTACTGGAACCAGAATTTCCCTGAGGGAGTAATCCCAAGGGATAAATAAAGTTGAGTCTAAATCTAATGATTTTCTTATATTGTTAGCAGAAACTGAGGTTAAGTAAACTATGGTTCTGAAATGGAAAACCTTTGTGTTTCCCTGATTTCAGGTTTGGTAAACTTAGTCTTCAATAAACCTGAAGTGTGAAATGGATCCCTTGTTTTTAATTCAGGTAGAAAAAAAATATTCTTATTGATTGACGCTCAGCATCCAACTGCAAAACTTTAGATTTTCAAACTCTAGCTCTCGTCGGTCTTGATGCGTCAAGCCAAAAGTGCAGCATGAAATGCAGGGAAAGCTTTAAAACACGCCGCAAGACATAACGACGCCCCTTGAGGAATGCCCAACCCGGACTTTGCATGTAAACCTGATGCTCTTCGGTCTGAACGCAGTATTGGCATTATACAACACCCAGCTTTGCAGCAAGACATACAGAGGCTGACAGTCTCTGTTTTTCAAAATAAATTACATTTTTACATTTCATGATATTAAAATATATTTTAAACTCTGATTGCAATTAAAACAGGTGTAAAAAGATAATTCTATATGTACTTCACATTGTTTAAACATTTTTATTCATGCTCAAGGTGTAATGATGCGATATGATAAACTACATGTAATAGAAACTCAGGAAGCCCAGACATCCCTGTGTTCTCTCAGAGGAGCCTCTATGTTCAGGAACTCTGACAGAACATTTCTCCAAACGTTGACATTTCCAGAACTTAAGAAAAGGTTAATCTTTCTCTCATCAGTAAATAAAACTATGTGCCATAGCATTTAAAGATGTCTCTGGAGTTTAGGATTTTCTATTCTTGTTGCTAAGGACTTGTGACTCGGTGGATTAGCCAAGGGCAGGACATTTCCCAAAACTTGTATTATGACATATTTCTTAATTTCTGTCATCAATACTAACAAAGAACAAGAACAGCAGCAACAACAAGGCAACCATTTTATCCAGATTCTCAATATAAATAATATTTATCTTTTTTTGGTATCATCTGGAGGCTGTAGGTCTTTCCAGGATCTTTTTCCTTTTACCCGTTTTTAGGTTCTACCTATTTAATGTCTGTTATGTTAATCCTCAGCAACATCTTCCTCTTCGTCTTACCCCCAGTCAGTGTAATTATCTTTGTGGTATTAATGTGGTTTGTGCAATTGCTCTGATTGACGTCCTGTTTTTCCCTTAATGTCGGATTTGCTTGTTTTCATCCGTGAAATGCTCTCTGGTTTACATGTTGGTTACACCTCTGAAACCAAAACCCAGAAATATTCAGCTATTATCAAGAGTAATTAGACACACCTAGGCAACAACAAAACCTATCAGACACCCCAGATTTGTGTTCATCCAAAAACCTGTTATTAATAACGCTACCATGATGTCTCTTCTCTCACAATCATTTTATGATCTGCAATAAAAAAAAAACAAATTCAACCTGTGAAATGGTCGGCTAAAACAACCTGTGAGCAATGAGGGACTAACTGCCCAAGATAATCCGATAAATGTCCAGTGACGCACCAAGAAAGAAGATCATAAAGGGCCTCAGAGACAAAGTGACTTCATTCTTGGCAGCATCCATCTGTGTTCTTCACAACTAAATCAGAAAAGAGTTCAAGTTTCTGTTCTTCCACAGCAGATGAGTTAAATATAAAAACTGACCACAATGAGGATGGATCCCTGCAGGGTGAAGAGGCCATTACCACATTACACGTTACAGAGATGCTAACAGTGTGGTGCTTGGGTAGGAACGTTTTCACCATAACTTCGTTCTACACCCACAATGTCACAGGCTGAACGGTAAATAGTTTGACTTATAAAGTCAGCAGGAGTTTCCACTTTTAATCCAGGGTGTTAATAATAAAAAGTAAATGTAAATCCCTTTATTGTCCCACAATGGGGAAATTTACTCTCTGCATTTAACCCATCCCCTTGGGGCTGCCATTGTGTGCCGCCCAGGGAGCAGTGTGGAATGAAGGGTTTTGCTCAGGGACCCAGAATACAGGCTGTTGGGATTTAACTGGGCACTTGCAACCTTCTCAGAGTAAAAGCACACTGCTCTAACCACTCTCACAACACTCCCAGAACACTTAGGCTACGTTTACACTGCAGGCTTTGATGCTTAATTCCGATTTTTATTGCGTTGCCGTTCACATTTGCAAATATATGCGACTTGTATGTGATCTCCTGTGTGAACTGCAGTCATACAACGCAAGTGTCCCGCATGCGCAGTAGAGGGCACAATGACGTCACAGGCATGCTGATGCTCTATGTTTACGGAAGTAAACAGGGATGGTAGTGCCGGCGTGCATCTAGCGATCTTTCCCCAACCATAAAAACACTTTTCAAGATAGTTAAACATAATTACTGCCCTCTGCATCATCATCTGCCATGGTTGCTGTTTTTCTTGCCGCTTCTTCATAGCAAGACCCAGAATAGTAACCTTTGTTGGGTATTAATGGAGTTCAAGACGGATGAATGCGACCTGGCCGTTCAGACACAGGTTGCATTTCAAAAAGATCAGATTCTTATCGGATTCAGGACCAGAAAAAAATCAGATCTGTGTTGTTCAGACTGCCATGAAAAGATCAGATCCAGGTTGCATATGGGCAAAAAAAACGGAATTAGGTCACTTCAGGCTGAAGTGTGAACGTAGCCTTTCAGAGCTCTGTTAAATCTGAAAAGCATGGCAGGCTATTGTATTTAGTCCCTTTACTCCTTTTGTGTCTTGCCCTCCTTGTGCAAGGTGTCGATGGTCGTCTTTTGGACAACTGTCAAGTCAGCAGTCTTCCCCATGATTGTGTAGCCTATAGAACTAGACTGAAAGACCATTTAAAGGCTTTTGCAGGTGGTTTGAGTTAATTAGCTGATTAGAGTGTGGCACCAGGGGCCATCAATTTTGAACCTTTTCACAATATTCTAATTTTCTGATATGATGAATTTGAGATTTTCATTTGTTGTCATTTGTAATCATCAAAATTAAACAAAATAAACATCTGAAATATATGAGTTTGTATGTAATGTATGAATATAATATACAAGTTTCACTTTTTAAATGGAATTACTGAAATCAATCTACTTTTTCATGATATTCTAATTTTATGACCAGCACCTGTATATGAAATGCAGTGAACCCAGAATGCTTTCTAACAGCAGCTGGACCAGCAGCACTGTTTGTACTACTTTGATTAAGAAAACCATACAGGAACATCAAACCCAGAATAAAAAGGCTTAAAAAACTTTCCATTTCTTTTCATTTTCAACCCTTTCTATCGCCCACAAAGAGACCATTAGCCTACTTCTACTTTACGTACACACTTCATTTATATCACAGGTAGGTAGAGTAACCAAAAAAAGTACTTAAGATATAGAGGACGATCTTTTATTTTTGGGTGGATCATCTAAATAAGTTGTCCTGCTAATTGTCAATCATTCCGGTGATATGTTTACGTAAGACCGTCCTACATGCTTGTCCTGTTAGCTGTCTTTTCCTGCACATGCGCACTTTTAGGCATTTTTGTGTGGTGAGCTACGAGACGGTCATTGAAGCTCATCTTTCTCACCGTGGTTCTTTGAAAATGGCAGAGGGTCATACGAGAAAAAGTCTCTGCGAAGTGTATGAGAAGAAAAGAAAGGCCTCAGAAGCGGCAGATATATCCCGGATTGCTTTGCAGGGAGGGTTCTCCTCGCAAAGCATTATGGGACTGACTGCGGTGACAGATAAAGATGGCGCAGGCCACACGCAGTGGAGGAGGAGTAACGTGACCAATGGAGCAAAAAGTACTGATCATTAGTCCGAACGGTCAGTTAACTGAGTTTGCTATAAAATCAACTATATAGTCCCCGCTCTATATAGTGATTGAGGGATTTAGGGGTTAGGGAGGACATTCGGGCACAGTAAGCTTGTATGAGCTATGAGAACAGCAGCAGAGCGTGCAGGAGGAGAACTCTCCTGCACGCAGAGTTTTTTTCAATTGGACAGGGGGCGGGTCTTTTGAAAAAAACAGAAACATCCTCCACAATACCTTTAAGTAATGATGGCAGTGCATCATATTTTTACTCAAGTAAAAGTAATCATTACAACTGATTAAATATTTAACAGCCTTAAACACAAATAAGTGGTGCATATTTATGTAAAACAAGCTTGTTTTCATTAAGTGAAGTTACTCAACAGATGGAGTAGCCAGAAATTTTAAGAGCAAAATTAAAAGTACATTTGTTTTCAAAAAGTTATCCAAGTAAATGTAACTAGTTACTACCCAAAATAATTTCTGAGCATGTTTTTTTCTCTAAGTGTGCTTTACATTTCCTCAAATTGTTTTAAATTTTGTCCATGCACCATGTGAGCCTTCAAAGCCAGGAATCTCTGCAAATTTTTTTTTGGTGAGGATAAATTTGCTGATCCCTCAGGAGTCCATATAAATAAACATTAACCCAGTACAAACCCAGCTGTTCTTTGAGGTTTGTTAGAGAAACAAACTGCAACAGAACAAATTATCATTAAATGAGACCAATAAGCATAAAAAATACACACTTTTAGCTCAATTCTAACTTGAGACAAAATAAAAGAACCCAAATCACTAAAACCCAATCCCTAATGGTGCAACAAGGAGGTGGCCGAATTATGCTGTGGGGAGATTTTTCGTTAGCAGAGTAAATGAGGCTGAAAAAAGCAAAGGCTGTTTCCTGCTTCTTGGTCCATCACACAAAATGGGCCCAAATATTTCGAGGTCTTTAGTAGAAATGTGGAAAATGTGATATTTTGGAAGGGGTGTGAATACTAAAGCTTGTGTAGTGCATTCATTTAATTCTCCATTTGTTTGATAAGCCTGGAACCTTGATGCAAAGAGCTTACCTTGAGGAAAATCTGCCTCTAGATCCAGGTCAGGGTCGTATTTTTCTTCCTCCACCTCCTCCTCTTCCTCTGAGCTACTGCTGGAGGACTCCCCTTTGACACAGTCTTCCTTCACTATCAACTCTTTCACGTCTAAAATGATCAAGCAGACAGATTCCTCATGCCAACCGAATGTGGTTTTAAAGGATCTTCACCTCAGCAGGACAATAAAGAAATCTCTCTCACATGGCTTCTCGTCATCTTTGATTATTACATCAGCTTCCATGCTGTTGGAGGGCATCTCAGCTTTCAGATCCTTCATGGTCTGAATGATCTCTTCTGCCCCCTGGAGGGTGGTGGGTAGAAACACAGGCACAGGAACCTGAAAGAAGCAAAATTATTATTATTTAGAAATAAAAACAGAGAATTCACCATCACGTGTAAAGTCATGTTTTACTGGTGTATGTCTTACCGGTACAGGCATAGAGAGTGGAGTAGGGGTGACCTGGGCATACATGTTCATAGGCATTGGGATGAAGACGGGCACAGGAATAGGTACAGGAATATACTCCCTCTTAACGCCGTCATCAACATCTGTAGAGGCAGAGATAACAGATCACTAAACACACAACGAGCAAATTAGGGAGCGCATGAATCATTTTGTGTAGGATTGCAACTGATGGCTACTTTGCTAATCTATTCATCTGTAGACTTTTCGACTAATAATCTGAAAGCATCAGGTGTGAAAGGGATTTTTTTTTATATTACAGGATTGAAACAATTAAGGTTAAAAATATCCTACAGGATCTTTGTAAAGTGCAAACATTTTAGTCTTAATTGTAAAATGTTTTTTTTTTTTTTATAGTTTTCATTTATGAATGTTGGTCGTTGTACTGTGTTGTAGAGTCTGTATGCTCCAATTGATGATTGTTCAGTAACTAAATTGGTTGATAATTATTTTAATAGTTAAATCACTATTATTTTTTTTCCAGCTTAATTTCTTTGAAACGTTTTTTATTTAAGACATGTACCTTAAATAAAAACTAATCTCCCTCTCACCTAAAGTGCCTTAAAAAGGGGCTTTAAAGCTTTTCCATAATTTACATTTGTAAAACCACTCATTTCTATGTATTTCAATATGATTAAAAAATCTAAGTTGATAATTTGAAACACAAATAGGACAATGTTTGTAAAATAGCTGCTAGTCTAGTTTTTTCTTGTTAAAGATAGGCTCTGTGTAAGTTTTGTATGTATTAGTGCTGTCAAAATTATCGCGTTATCGCGTTAACGCGAGGCCATTTTAACGGCGATAATTTTTTTAACATCAGATTAACGCTATGTGGTTTTATGGTACAATTTTCCAAGTACATCCCGCTGCAGCCTGCGGGAAGGCGGGGCTATTTTCCCCCAGTGTATGCATTTTCCATAGGCTTCGAGAGCGGAGCTCCTCAAGGAAAAAAGACGCTCATATACTGGGTGACGCTAGTGCCTTTTCTTTAAGCCCCACCACCAACAAACAAGTTGAGTGTCTGGTAACTAGTAGCAACCTGAAATAACTGAGAAAACAGATTACTGAGGTGAAATGGAATCTGCTACGGCACTCTTGCTGTCTGTGTACGCCACAGGTCAGTATCGTGTGTGTGTGTGTGTGTGTGGGTGTGTGTGTGTGTGTGTGGGTGTGTGTGTGTGTTCTCATTTTTGTTAAGAGGCTGAAAAGTAACTTTCTAGAGCATAGACTACCTCCATCTAGTGATGTCGGTCTATTGATTTTGATGTATTGATTGAAAATTGTTCATTATTACCTTGGTTAATTGACATCTAATGTTAACTGTACTACATTTTATAGCAATAGGGTAAAATGCTTGTCTTTGTTCAAAAGACTGTATTAACTTTAAAGACTGTCTTTTACATCAGCCTGTTTTCAGGGCCTTTTTTTGGCTACATATTTGTTATTTTTTGCTACATGCCCCATCTTCTTGCCATATGTTTCTATGGCATAAATCAGTGTCTGTGACCTGTTTTCATTTAAAAAAAAAAGAACATTGGCACAAACCTAGCCTGTATGTATTTTTTGTATGTCATCGAGAGTATTTAAATGATTTTCAATCAGAAAAAAAATGTGTGATTAAAATGCGATTAATCGCGAGTTAACTTAGGCATTGATGCGATTAATCGCGATAAAAAAAATTTAATCGATTGACAGCACTAGTATGTATGTATATTTTTTAACAGTTTTAAGGTCTTAGTTCAAGGAAAATAGTTCATGGCTAGTTAGAGAGCATCTGCAAAAATTAGATGTTAAAATATTCAAATCCTTAGCTGGATATATAGAGTGAATTTTGTTCAATTATTGCTACAATATGTTTTGTAAATGGTAATAAAAAACAAAAACTCCAACAGATTTTGTGAATTAAAATGTGAAAAACCTTTATCCAAAAAATTAAACTTTGAAAAATGTCTCAAGAAAAAAAAGTTACTTTTGATAGAAACTTTGTCTCTCAGATACTTCATCACAAAAAATTATTTTTTTTTTCCCCCTCACATGCTTTTTTCAAATACATTTTTTTCTTCAGATTTGATATTTTCAGATGTAATTTTTCTCAAAAAGAAAAAAATTTGAGAAGAAAGAAAACTTGACACTATAAAATCGGTAATAAAAATACCTTACCTGGCGTAAGCCATATTGACCATATTAACATGTAGAATTCAAATGAAAACTACAGGTATCGATCTGGAAAGCCTCATGTAGAAAGTGTTCGCTGAATATGATTCTGCCTCCCATGTCGAGTTTTTATTGAATCACAGCAGCAGTAGCAGCTTGATTTGTTTCACAACTAGCAGATTTAACTGATAAATCAAACCCTTACCAAATCGGGTCGAGCGGAACATGCAAACATCTTCCAATCACAAAAGCATAAATTGTTTTTCAAAAAGAAATAGCCAGTATTCCACCTAAAACTAGTGCTGCCATCTTTTTTAGGGTCAACCTTCTGCCTCTGCTTGAGGCGTTGATGTCATACACTGCATGTCGTTGGTCTGAAACATTTCAAGGCAAACGCATCTGTTGGCTCCTGGCAAGATGCATTTTCAGAAGATATTGGAATTCACAAATTGAGACAATTCATCTTGCTTAAAAGGTAATTAAAAAGGTTTTTTATTTCTTCTTTGCAATGTTACTGGAAATAAATCAATGCTATCTGGATTTAAATCTGGATTCAGATTTTTTCTCCACATTAACATTTTGCATATGTGTCATTTTGGTATCATCTGATCAGAGCACCTTCTTCCTAATGCTTGGAGGTCTGCATTTTCTTTGTGGGAGATATTTTAAGCTTGTGATATAATTTTATAATTCAGCTTCACCTTCAGCTTTTCTACAACTTTGTGCCTAATCTGTCCTGTGTTTCTTTTTTTGGGGGGTCAGTAACATAATTATACGGCTGTATTTAATGTATTTACCTCTAACGAAAATGTTGAATTATTTGGCAGAATCAGATTAAAATAACTGCAAACATTCATGCCTGGTTATTTCACCCATGTGTCACCATTATGCACTAATCTGGTCTATAACATTAAAACCACAACAAAACGAGTTTTGGTTGCTAAGTGGAGCAAATGTGGAGAAGGTTTAACGCTGTGGTTTCTTTTACCTGTCTGTAGATGTTTGCTCTGCATGTGTGGTTTGCAGTAGGTGGCTTTGGTCAGGGTCAGCGGTTTGCAGAGCACCGCCTTATTCTTCACATCTCTAATCACCCCCCCACTGGAGTATGTGACGGCACTCTGATTCACCAGCTGCACGTACATAAAACAGAAGTTAATCAACATCTGGAAAACGTTTCAGATGTCGTACGTGCTCTCACAAATTAAGAGGTAATATTTGAACCATTTATTTGCCAGTTATTCCTTCTTACCCCAGTTTTTGCTGCTTGTACGTCTATACCTATGAAGGGGAAAAAAGAAGACCTGGGTTACACCTTTACCTCATCAAGATCCTTCCAGCAGCAGCAGCTACTACAGTAGTACCTAGCATACAGTATGTCTGGATATAAACAAAGAGACTCCATCTTTACCCAGAGTGGTGTTCTCTGGTCCCTTCTGTGTGACCATGATGGGATCGTTCTGCTGACAGTAGAACCTCAACAGACACTCTTGGTCGCAGAAATGCTTCATCTCTGATCTCCACATCACAGACTCAGTCAGGTTACCCTGCACTTTGCAGCAGTCGCATCTCGCCGCCTGGTGGTCAAGAGAGGAACATTTCTGACCATTAATGCCATGTTTTTCCTAAACAAGTAGGTGTGTATATATATATATATACACACCTATTTGTTTGTATATATATATAAATATACATATGTGTATATATATATATATATATATATATACACACACACACACACATTTTTTTTACTAATAAAATTACTAATAACTAGGAGCCCACCTTATAGTACCAGTCATTGAACTTCTTAGCACAAGCCTCGCTGCAGAAGTCCCGGGTCAAGCCCCCCAGCTGCCGGGTGATGCCTCTCTTACAAAGCTGGTTGCAGTGGTTGCAGCTCACACACTTCAGCCCCAGACGTCTGATAAAATCCTGTTTAAACAGCAGCTTACAGCCTGGCGAAATGAAGAGAAACCTTAAAATTAACTACCAGCCAGAAGGAAAAGGACAGAGAAACAATTTCAAGCATCTAACTCAACCTTAAATGAAGAGAAAGGAGCATAGATAATCCCACTCAAATATTCTTATGCTACGTACTTCAAGCCTCTCAAGGAAAGGTTACATTTCTTAAGAGTCCTTGAGATGAAGAGGGTGGGTACCTTCACTGCAGAACGGCCTCTTAACACCAGAGAACTTGACCATCTCATGAAGGGTCTTCTCTTCTTGGCAGTACTCACAAAGCGTCACAATGCAGTGGAGCTTCTTATAATCCTCGCAGCAAGTCTTACTGCAGAACTGATAGACCTTATCCTGAAAATAAACATTCATTTTTATAATTACTGCATCTCTTTCGAGACAAGATTCGTTTTTTTTTCTGTAATCAAAGAGCAAACTATTTTTTACATCTTTAGACAACTGATATTAAAGCTATTCTGCAGTAGAAAAATAATATTCATTGTAATTGTACATTAAATAAAAGCAAGGAATTATATATATATGTGTTATTTTTGTTGCTCTGCTGATAATTAATGATTTCTGAAAATAGTTCAGGTACTCTGACAGCTTCAGAGTTTTATCTCTTGATGTTTCTCGGTGGTCTGACCTGCCACTCCAGAATCTCAGGCTTCAGGCTGAACGCTCCTCGGCAGTAGTTGCATTTCAGCTGGACAGAGCTGTTGCTGAGGGGCATCTGACCGTTAGTGGTTGTTTGAAGGGAAGCATTCTGCTAAGAAAGGCATTGAGTGAGAAACAGAAGGGCAGAAGTTCAACTTTTTCAAATGAAAGTCATTCAATGAACTAAATCTTGTTAATATGGTGAAAACCATGCTTTTGAAATAAAGCATATAAGCAGCAAATATAGATTCTCTAAAATATGAACAGTGAAAATAGCCAACGGAAGATAAAAAATCATCAAAAAATAATCTTTAGAATGGGTTATTTTGTCTGACTTTTGTATGTATCACCTTTTTTATTGCATCATCTGCATTTGCTCCTTGAAGCTCCTCTGGGCTTTTCACTGCAGCGGATTGAACACGGTATAAATTCACAGTCCTCCAAAGCTCCAACTGTCTAGTCTCCGATGCAACACTTTTCCCTTCCACTGAACTTTCCTTTAAAGTCGTAGGGAAGCGGCTGATCCAACGGTTGCATTTCCAAATTCTCCTGAGTGGTACCCGACTTTACACGAGTGAATAAAGTGAATGTTATCGGTCGTTTATCAAGAGTGCGGAGTTGTTGTGGCGGAAGGTTCGCAAGCAGGTTTGATTGTGGCCGGTTTGTCGGAAGCATCTTGCTAACCAGTTAGCAACTTAGTGCTAGTAGATTCCCTATGGGAAATTCCATTGGGACCAAGTAGCACTAAATTGGTGACTTAGAAACGACACTGTCAAGGAACGCTATGGACAGAGGAAACATGCAAGAGGAGGAGAGTTTAGTGTCGGAGGTCATGGTTGAGTCTCCTCCATCATACATTTTTTATTTAAAAGAGGAAAGTGGGGACGAAGATGTTGTGGAAGAGGACGCCAGGGCGGCAGAAGCTTGGTTTGGTGTAAAGGCTTACAGCCGTACATGTTTGAGCCCTTGCCTCCAACGCTGCCAGTTCTGTTAGCTCTACGCCTGCTGAAGACACAGACGTCCATCCCCGTGAACATTGGGACGGAACTCCGTGGTAAAGGAAATGGTTCTTATTTCTCATTTCAACCGTTACGTATATTAGCTGCGACATATGAATCAAGTGCTGTAACCGAAAAAATTTGATTGACAGATGACTGTTGATATATGATTGGCTGAATTTAGTTTCACAAGCTGACGTATAACTAACTGGCCTGCATAAAATAACAAAAACAGATTTTAAGACAGGATTTTCTTTTTTTTTTAACAGAACTTTTCTAAATTTTGGGACAATATCGTCTAATAAAGAGCTGATTTATATACATGTTTAAGCCAGAATGATTTGAGATTTAAATATGATTTCCCTATGACTTTAAGGATTCGCAGGAACCCTGTGTTAAGTCAACAGGACGGCTCTCACCTGGAACTTAGTAACACATTGTGAGCTGCAGAAGTTCAGTATGCTGCCCTCTGGCAGCGTGGCCTGGTACTGCGGCAAGGAGCTTCTTTTACAGAAATCACATGTCGGTTCTTTGTCTGCACACAGAAAATAAGACATAATTTCTTCACTCTTGGATTCACATATATGCTACTTCAACCGTTAATGAAGATGGGTAAAAAAAAATAAGCTGCGTTTTCATTATATTTCATTTCATTTTAATTACATTATTTTGTTTAATTTGATGTGTTGTGTCAATAACCGTGTAATCTGACTACTCACTGATCAATGAGGTGAGTTTGCCCTTGTTCATGCAGCTCACAGAGCAGTAGGAGCTCATGGTGCCGTTTGCTCCGAGGGTTTGGAGAACTTCCCCTGTCTTTATTAGTGTTTTGCAAGTCATACAGGTTGCAAGTTTACTGTGAGCCTGGTTGGGAGAACATTGCATCAAAACAAAAAACACTTTTAAACACCAACATAAGTGATTGAAAGCCTAATGATCCAATAGAAAAAAAAAAAAAAAAGCTGCATGTACAGTAGGGGTTTCCGTTCTTACCTGTTTGTAATCCCTGATGCAGTTCTGGCAGCAGAAGCGTTTCTGCTGGCCGTCGACCAGCAGGAAGTGGTTGGCTGAAGCCCGACTGGGCAGGTAGTCGCCACACTGCTCACAGCAGTTCATGATCAACCCGTTGGCTTTACGGTAAACGTTGAAACATGTGTCGCTGCAGATCTTATGGGTCACATTTTTAAAGCTGACCTCATGTCGAATCTGGAGACCAAGAAGAGGAAACGTTTCAGACATCGTTAAAGATAAATCTTCGGTGGCGCAGTGGTTAGCGCACACGACCCATGTATGGAGGCCTTAGGCCTCGACACGGCCGACACAGGTTGAATCCGACCCAGGTCCTTTGCCGCATGTCTCTCTCTTTCTCTCATAACCCACCATCCCGTCAGCCTACTGTCCAAAAAAATTAAGAAAAATAAAAATCGGGCCACTAGTGCCGTAAAATAAAAACATTTTAATAAATATATTTTATTTAATTTAATTGTTATACAGAAAACAGATGTCTGGGATGTATGTATGAATATAGATAATATCAACTTGAGGGTTTTTCAAAGGTCCTCAGAGCAAACTGTGGTTGGTGATACGATATGAGGGAAGTCACATTGGAATGTGGCTAACCAAGCTGTCAGGCTTCAAACTATGCACATTCAAAACAAAGAACAATGTTTGAAACCTTTAATAAGCTACGAACTGTTTAGTGTTGGTAAATGCGTCTTTTCTCCATGCGGACAGTAAAGGTCCTGGAGGAAAAGTAGTGATGGAGAGAAAAAGTCAGATAGATCTAGATCATACAAAAGCCAGATGAGAATAAAGACAAACCAAAATTATTTATGTTTATAAATAGTTCATCAGATTAAGTTGAGCCAAAGCTCAGATAACTCCTGACATTACAGTGAAGGATATACTTAAATAAAAAAAAAGATGAAAGGAAAAATAGAAATCATGTAGCAGTAAACCACCATGTAATACACCCTAAAAACAAACAAGGAAAACTAAAATGTAGAGTGGGGCCTGTAAAACTGAGGGTCTCCAGGCTACAGGGTAATAAAAGATGTAAGATGTGATTTTTAGTGTAGCCTGTGAGAGCAACTAGAGCTTCATCTGGCTCCGACTTGGCCTCCAACCTTCTATCAGTGCAGAGGGCAGACAGATCTGGTCTCTAGTCTATATGATGTTTCATCAGTTCTTTTTTAAAATTTTAATCTTTGTTAGAAATGATGCAGAAGCTCACTGCTCTTTGAAGTGAGCAAATCTTTTAGAGTTTCCACAAAGTGGCTCCAGTGCCAAGGTTTGGAACAAGAAGCGGAACTTAAATCATCCAGTCAGGTTTTTCCCTGGAAGCATTAACACTTCCCATCTAAAGTCCTCATCCTACATATTTGATGTTCTAGAGAAGACTGAAGGAGATAATCCATCCCAAATGATCAGTTTGTCTAAATATCCCTATAAAAGGCACAGGATTTATGAATCCCAAACTGCAGGCAGCTTAGAAACGTTGTTTGTTGTCAACTTTAAAGCACTCTATAACGTACCTTTATGTCTTAGGGATATTAAATAATAATAAAAAAAAAAAATAGAAATGTTAATGCCGTGGAACACTGGATCAGCTCTACTCAGCAGGATCCAGGGTGGTGCATGGGAGTTTGCCTGACCAGTCTACATGTGTTTGGATCTGGAGAAGGCATTCGACCGTGTCCCTCTGGGGGTCCTGTGGGGGGTACTCTGGGATTACGGCACAGAGGGCTCTTTAATAAGGGCTGCTAGGTCTCTGTATGACCGTTGTCAGAGCCTGGTCCGCAGTCTGACTCGTTTCCGGTGAGGGTTGGACTCTGCCAAGTTTGCCCTTTGTCACAGATTCTGTTCATACCCTTCATAGGCAGAATTTCTAGGCGCAGCCAAGGTGTTGAGGGGATCTGTTTTGGTGGCCTTAGGATTGCATCTCTGTTATTCGCAGATGATGTGGTTCTATTGGCTTCATCAGGGCGTGATCTGCAGCTCTCACTGGAGCAGTTCACAGCCGAGTGTGAAGCGGCTGGGATGAGGATCAGTGCCTCCAAATCAGAGACCATGGTGTTGAGCCGGAAAAGGGTAGAGTGCTTTCTTTAGGTTGGGGAGGATGTACTGCCTCTAGTGGAGGAGTTTAAGTATCTTGGGGTCTTGTTCATGAATGAGGGGAAGATGGAGCGGGAGATCGACAGGCGGATTGGTGCGGCGTCTGCTGTGAGGCGGGCTCTGTACTGATCTGTTGTGGTGAAGAGAGAGTTGAGCCAAAAAGCAAAGCTCTTGATTTACCGGTCGATCTACGTTCCTACCCTCATCTATAGTCATGAGCTTTGGGTCATGACTGAAAGAACGAGATCCCGGATACAAGTGGCAGAAATGAGTTTTCTCCGTAGTTTGTCTGGGCTCTCCCTTAGAGATAGGGTGAGGAGCTCAGTCATCCAAGGAGGACTCAGAGTAGAGCCGCTGCTCCTCCAGATCGAGAGGAGCCAGTTGAGGTGGCTCGGGCATCTGGTTAGGATGCCTCCTGGACGTTGCCCTGGTGAGGTGTTCCAGGACCGTCCCATCAGGAGGAGGCCCAGGAGGAGACCCAGGACACGCTGGAGGGACTATGTTTCTCGGCTGGCCTGGGAACGCCTTGGGATTCCCCTGGAGGAGCTGGCCTAAGTGGCTGGGGAGAGGGAAGTCTGGGCCTCCCTACTGAAGCTGCTACCCCCGCAACCCGACCCCGGATAAGCAGAAGAGGATGGATGGATGGATGGATGGATGGATGGATGGATGGATGGATGGATGGATGGATGGATGGATGGATGGATGGATGGATGGATGGATGGATGGATGGATGGATGGATGGGGCGTTGTACAGACTGACCTCTGTGAGTTTTCCGCATACGGTGCATTTGTTTTTGATCCCAGTTTTAGGCGGGTTGTGCTTGTTCTCGTACGCGCCCAAGCAGCCGGTTGTACAGAACTCCTGAAAAGACTCGCTGGAGTCGACCTGGGCAACGATCGTGCCCTTGATATGCGTGATGTCTCTGGAACAAAAAAAGACAAAAAAACAAACCAATCATATGATGAAAAGATTTCTACAGAAAACGTAAACCAATTAGTGAAAAAAAATGAACTGAACTAGAAATCTGATATGAACTTAGAACAGTAAAATGAAAACACTTTAAGGCATAAAAGGAAAAAGACTCACTTTTTACACATAGTGCAGGTTTTCTTGGGTGTAGGTTTGTGTGAAAAGGCAGAGAGACAGGTGGTGGAGCAGAACAGGTGGGAGGAGCCTTTTCGCTGGTAGGCTGTCTGGCCTTTCTTTAGAGGCTTTTTACAGTTAGCACAGGTCACCTGTCAGGTTCACAAACAGGAATGAAAGACAACAGATTTTTTCAATTAATCATTCCCACCATCTTTCCAGGCCGACATACCAAACTTATTTTTCAGACTCACATTCGTACAAAGCTGGTACTTTTTTTGTTGATTACTTTAAATACAAAACCTGACAAATATCTAAATAGTTGCATTTACATTTTCAGTGACAGCGTCAACAGCAGCAGGTGATCTCTGGCTTTTCTTCCAGATCTTTTAGTTATCAAGTTCCTCTCCTATTGAGCAAACTACCAGTTTAGTCCGTGAGGCAGACGCCCTGTTTACCTTTAAATTAAGGCATAAAACTTTCCTTTCTGATAAAAACATGTAGTTAAAAGCTGTGCTGCTGCGAGCAACACTTTTATTAAAAATACATGTTGGAGCTCTGCCTTTTTTCCAATGTAGTCCTGTTTCTCTGACTGTTACTGGCTGGATGTGCTCTCTTTATCCTGACATGGGAGCTGGCTTGCAGTTTGTCTACCTGACTGTTTGTTTCCTGGACGGAGGCACCTGTGGAGCTGGTTGACAGCTGCCTTTGGTATCTCTACTTCTTTTTGTATCTCTGCTTCTGTCTCCTTGAACGAGAGTCGGCCTCGGCAGATGGCTGACCACACTGAGCCAGGTTCTGCTGCAGGTTTCTTCCTGCAGCAGAACGCTACAAGCATGCTTGGTGTGAGGGATTCGAGTCAATGAGTCGATTTAATCAACTGGTTTTCTTTAGATAGAAAACTTTGAACCAGTCTGACTGTATCATTGTTTCTGTAAAGTGTCTTGAGAAGACGTGTTGTGAATTGGTGCTATATAAATAAACTGAATTGAATTGTTGGTTTAAATTGTTAGTACAAATGCTGTGGATCCGTTAGTCATACAAGTTTAAACAGATTTTGAATACATTTTTTCCTAATCCTTGAGGGGGACAAAAATAGATCCAATAACATTATTTCACTGCAAATTTTCCATAGATTTTTTTTAACAGCAAACCAATCGGATGGAGGGTTGCCAGCCTGTGGGGGCTTACCTTGACCGTCCTTGGTTGTGTCTGGGAGCCTGAGGAGGAAGTAGAGGTGGAAGACTGGCCTGCAGGCTTGGGTAGCGAGGTGGCAGGCGATGGCGAGTCCACCCCGGTTTGCTTTTGGCTGCGGGGAACCGACGCCGACTGAGAGATCCAGGAGTCTTCAACAAAGAGAAAGAAAGAAAATCTTAGTTTTGCATCTGGCTTTCACTCGCTCTCTCCCTACATGATTACATGTTTAGGATCGCTCCTTTGCTTTGGTTTCTTAATGGCAGCAAAGGCCGGGAGAAAAGCAAAGGCAGGACCTAAATATGGCCTCTAAAAGCAGCAGGCAAGCAGCAAAGATCTGAATCACAAACACCAAGATGACCAACAGTAATTAATAGACAAATTACAACCATAGCTTTAAAAAGGCTGGTTTAAACAGCAAACATTAAAATGTTTTAAAAATTCTAACAAATCACAAACAATTATAAAGTTTAACAACAATCAGATTTTGACACAAACAAAAATCTCAGCCGGGAGGTTTTTCTGCCCCAATGAAAGCTTTACTATAGAGCAGAGGTCACGGATTAGCGGACTGCGGTCCGGATCCGAACCCATCTGCTGGCTAATCCAGACCCAACCAGATTTAAAATATTTATAAATTACTGCAAGAGGGTGTCTAATTTCACTTGCGCTGCTTTCCTGTTACTATTGTAAAGCACTTCAGAGCGTCAGGCTACACGTGATAGAAATTAGCCAATGAGCTGCTGTCAGTCTGGGTTGCTGCTGCTGCTGCTTTTAGGCACAACAGGCAAACCTGTGTCAAGCTGGGCGATGGGAAAGAAGGAGAAGATGAGGAGAAAAAGAGAGCAGAGAAAGTGTGGACTGCTGGAAGAACTGTGGTGAACTGGTGACAGAAAAGTGAAATGGTGCTCAAAGATGACCCTGCACATTCTGAGTATGTTTGGCTCAACCTGCTGCAGTGAAGCAGGATTCTCCACCATGAACAGAATACAAAATAAATATGGATCCAGGCTCAAAATGAGCACCTTGATATGTGCTCTAGAATGGCTTTGTCTCCATTCAAACCCAGTTTAAAGCCTTGCAGGGCAGCCTAGAGCCCACTGCTCTCATTAAGCCATAAAATAAAACAGTCAGTTCAGATGTTTTATAAAATATGTGAATCAGGAAATTCTATATACACTGAACTGAATGATTGTTGTTCTCTACTTCAAAAAACACTTTCGATTTTAAAATGGAAACATTTTCTATTTTTTATATTATATAGATAATATTTTTTTTATTTAAAAAGTCAACATGGATGCATAAACACATAAACAGTGTTAAATTTTGTTTAATGTAACAGATTATAATTAGAAATGGGTACGGAACTTTACTGGTTGATGATTTTCTTTATTCGGACACCGCTGAGTTTTAATTGGTTACGCCTGATATAGCGCAATAAAAGATCATCACTCTGGAAACATCGATATGATCATCATCTGCTAAATTCTATGAAGTTTCAGCAAATCCATGGTATGCAAACTCCCAAACTAAACAGTTAAGACAAGATGGATATAAAAACCAAGGCCTGTTAATGACAACGTTTCTCATTGATAAAAACGGCAAATTTCCAGTAAAAATCACAAAAATGTAATCAAGCTGTACCGTATCCAATCCAACATTTCACTTTATGACTCAAATGTGAGGCTTCAACGGTTTGAGCTCAAAGATTAAATTCAGGGTTCCAGATACAATCATTAAAAGAAATTGGAAATTTGTAAGAAGAAAATATCTTCTGAAATATTATTTGAAATGTCAAACTCCTGAGAACCAACTGTTTAAGATCCTGCATCAAGCAAAATAAAGTTCTTTATTAAATTCATGCAAAAAGTGGTCTTTGCTCAAAGTGGCTTAATAAGTTGTGTTTGTCCTGCTAAACTGAGAGGTTTAGCAACAGTATTAGAAAGTTTCTAAATTTAATCGTTTTGCTTTGGGACGTCTGTTTATGTGCACTTATCAGAGCCAAATCTTACAGTTCAGTTATTAAGCTATATAAATAAAAAAAAACTCAAAATAATACGTTCCTTAAAGCGAAATATGAAAGTTGATTTGTGAAATGAAACTATTTTATGATTTCATTTAGATAGTTGCAGTTTTCTTTTCTTTTTCCCAATTAATATTGATAAAAATCTGTCCCATGTAATGATATTCTAATAATGTAGGCAATTAGCAGACAGATCTGTACGGAAGACGATTAGGGCCAGAAAAAAAAGTAAACTGATTTTTACATTTTATTTCAGTTTAGTATGGGAAAAAAAGTCAGAATTCTGACTTTAATCTCAGAACTCTGACTGAATTCTGACAATAAAGTCAGAATTCTGAGATTAAAGTCAGAATTCTGACTTTTTTTCCCCCCATACTAAACTAAAATAAAATTTAAAAATCAGTTAGCTTTTTTTTTTTTTTCCAGTGGCCCTAATCCTCTTCCGTAGATCTGGGTTTAATATACTAAATAAATGTGTAGCTAGGAATCAAAACAAACCAGTGTTGAAACCGTCCTCACTTTCCCCTTCCCGTAGTTCTAAAGGCATCATTTCACCATATGACCTTGTGGGTGACTTTGGACGGCTTAAAAAAAAAAGAATAACATGATATAGGACCTTTAATATCATAAATCCCAGGATTATTCAGCTCCATTCCCATGGAAATACTCCAACAGTGAATTTTGCAACCATTTCTTAAACCCTACTCTGTGAGCCAAGGTAACTCTGTAAAAGCTGCAAAGATCCAGTGTCTATAATTTTTGATCCACTAATCTGGCCTGGTGAAAAAATAGCTGCAATTAGCATTTAGTTGTTCCTGTTAGTTTAGAAAATAAAATCTTCCCAAAAGGAAATCAAAGTTTTTGATTGTGAAGTGAGAAAATGTGAAAAGATGAAAGCACATTTAGCCTAGCTAGCCTGCTACATCTTCCATCTTCTCAAATGTTAAGTTCAGTGACACCAAGAATGGCAGCAGGAGGCTTTAATTCTTCATGACTTCTGCCATCTTGTGACCAATAAGACGGCAGGCCCACATTTATCCCGCTTCCAGCGTTTAAACCTGACAGGAAATGGTTAACTTCATTTGTTACCTGCTCCCTTGTGTGTCCCCGCCTCTCCATTCTGGATCAGCTGGCTGGCGGAGCCTGAGCCTCGGCCCGGGTTAAAGGAGGTGGTTGATCGAGCAGACGGGGTTTCAGGATTCAGACTGAAGGCACTGCTGATCTGCAGACCGTTCTCCTCCGTATCGTTCTCAACTCCCTAAAGAGAAACAAAACAAAGGTTACAGTTTTGTTGTTTTCTGCAGAACAATTATCTAAAGAAAAAGTAATCAAGAACCAAAAACTCCAGAAGAAATTAAACATATTTAGCCTTGATGACCTCACCTCTATGACAGCTGCTGCTTCACCTTGGAGGGACGTCACAGAGGTGATCATTAGGTTTATGTCTGCCTGGGAATCGTCTGGATGTGTTGGTGTATTTGATGCATAGGTTTTCTGGCTGCTGGGACCTAAAGTGGTAACGCTTGAGATCCTGATTTCGGAATCTGGATCTTTGCTGCTGAGTTCGCCAGGTGAGTGGGATGCAGACGAGTCTCCGGGGGGCAAAGGCGAGAGGGAAGAGCTCTCTTTCTGTTCACAGTCCTCCTCATCATCGATGACGATGGGCTCTGGTGCTGTGGTTGGGGGCTTCTGCGATACCGCCGCCATGGATGCATTGGAAGACGGAGGAGACTCGGGGCTCTTGGAAGGCGTCGCTGCTGCTGCTGCTGCGTCCTCCTCTGCAGCATCTGGAGCCTCAACAGCTGATTGCTCTGCACTCGCTGCGTTGGATTCATCTTGAGAGGAGGCAGGCCTTTCAGCCTCCTCCTCTACAAGAACTACATCATCATCGTCGTCCTCTGTGCCACCCTCCTTTGTGGCTTCCTCTCCTGTTTCCATGGATACCTCCTCCCCAGCCGCCTCGGCTGGAGGTGGGGTCGGTTGTCGGGATGAAGGAGTGGCATCGAGGAGCTCCACCTTCTCCTCTGCCATGACAGGGTTTGGCTCCGTCTCCCCATCCATCGCTAAGGCAACCACCTGGAAAATCAAACAAAAGCCGTTGAGGACAGAATTAGGAGGAGCCCAAACCAGTAATTAGTTTTACAATGTCTGACAGCTGGACAGGTAGCTCAGGTGTCCTCTGAGGTTAACCTCTGAAAGAACACAAACCTCATGGCAGAGGTTTGACCGGTTTAGGTCATTAGATTATTGTTCACTTTGGAGAATTAATAGAAACCAACCATTTAAAATGTCCCTATTTTCACTTTTTCCTGCAGATTGTCCTAAATTATCCTTTTAACTTAACAAAAACATCAATATTCCTCTGAATGCAGAGCATTCAAAATGGAGGTCTTGGCAGTGCTGTGGTGCTGATTTATGCAATTTAGGTCATGCATGTCTACATGCAATTTATCTATTACTACAACGAGCACATTAAACAAAGAAGAAAGGCTGTTATCCATTTCTATAAACCATTCATCTAAAGATAATATAATAGCTAGTTTATTAATTAGCTTGTTTGCTGGAAGCATTTAAGATGTAAAAACCGATCAATCAGGTAGATTACAATTAAACTGAATGTAAAGATGGAATTATTGAGTTCTAAAATAAGTCCCTTTATATAGCAGCATATTAAATCACCTCTGCTAAAGCAAACAGCTAAAACAAATCAAGTAAACCCCATTTACTAGTTCTGAAGGAGATTAGAAAGCTTGGTGCACCAGAGTACCTTTTTATTGCATTTATTAAACAAAAATAAGACGAAATGCTCAACAGTGAGGAGGAGTTTACAAAGAATGATCTGAGTAAACTAGAGATAAACAGAGAAACGGGATTCTCAGCCCTCCAGAACCAGACTGGCGATCATCCCCTTAGAGATCCATATTCTCTTCTGATCAGTGAACCGTCCCGACAGAAGCTACCGAGTTCGCCTGAAGGAAAACATGCAGTATGCGATTATTCCAAATGGCGAGCATTCAAATTTTATATGAAGGCCATTTGGAAAAAAAAAAATATCCTCCCGTCCTCCAAAAATATGTTTTGTTCCATTAAACAAGAAACAGCGGTAAACATTTTACCAGTAGAGAAAGCCTGAAACCACAGTCCTCCGTTTTTAAATGTCGGGAAACATGTTTAGAGTTAAAAAGGTGAGAAAAGATCATTGAAAGGAAGCCGTCACTTTTCAGGCAGCGATAGAGAGACGGATTTTAGGGCAAAAACAAATAATCAGATGAATCCATTAATCAACTAACATGGTTAAAGAAATAGACTTGGTACACAGACTAAAAAATACCATTTGCTGAAAGGAAAACATAAAACACCCAAATTAAACTCTAGATACAAACTATAAACATTTATAAACATGAAAAATATATACAACAAAATCAAATTCTTAATAGATATACTTTAATGTGTATGAATATATTATATTGTTTACATGTTTTGCCATTTTCAATTCACACATGTCATCTCAAGGCACTTAGAGAGACACAATTTAACCAGATCATATACTCAGATTGATTCAAAGTTTTCTATATAAGGAAAACCAGATGATTACATTAACTAAGCATGTTTGTAGCGACAGTGGAGAGGAAAAGCTCCCTTTTAACAGAAAGAAACCTCCAGCAGAACCAGGCTCACACTGAGGCTGGTTCTGCTAGAGGTTCTTCTGGATTTAAAATAGAGTTAAGTTTGTTATTTAAATTCGGTTTTTGGCGCAGCCCTAATAGATGTAGGTTCTGATTTATTCGGTACGAAAAGAAGCAGCATGCCATAGGATTACTAAAAAAAGCAAAACTGATCCAAGATAAAGTTGAGCAGGTAAAATGTTGAGTTTACGACAGCAGAGATTCTCAGTTTCAAACTTCTGGGCTCCTGATCTAACTGAAAAATAATGGCAGACTTTTAGAAGAGGTAAAGGAAAAGTCCATTCAGAGTCACTTTCAGAATACAAGCTTCTGAAAGTACTTTAAGTATGAAATTATTACATGCTTTTCAATAAATAAGTGTTTTTAATTAAGAGTAATTTCATTTGAATGTTTTGAATGTGATATCGGCTGTTGAGCAAATCCAAGTGTTGTTTCTGGTGTTTGTCACAATGCACTATTATGCATGACAGCGGCGACCAGTGCACTATGCGGAGCAGAGAGTAACGGATTAAAGGCCAGAATTTCGATAGCAAATCCTCTGTTTTCACGTTAGCATTCCAATGACGAACCCGTTCGTGGAGGATCATGAATCGGAAAGATGAAAAAAAAATTTTTTTTTCACTTTTACCCGATGTATTACAACATCCAACTGCCATGCACGTGGGTATCGTCAGTTTAACTATAGCTCAGGTGAATTTCAATGGTGAAAAGATCTGGAAATCTTAAATAATTGCTGTTGGTTGCAGATGTTTAGTAGTTCCCATTGATTTTGCTTGTAAAGTGGGTAGAATGGCAATTGGCTTACTGCGCCGTGACGTCACTGCAGGAAGATGTAAGGGGTGAGGTGTTACTATATTTGGGCAAAAATGGTCGCTCCCGGACTCAGTTATCGCAAATAAAATTGTCATTTTAATTTTTTTACTGATTAACACTGAATTAATAAAATCCTCGCGAACGTATTAGTTTTAGGTATAGATAATGATCGATTAGTTATTCCTTGCTGACCAGACTTTTCCTTTAAAGTCCTACGTACTGAAGTGGAATTAGTAGAATCAGGAATGTTAACCGTGCTAACTGCTAGCATGAGATGATAAAGTTCGGAGGAGCTAAAGCCGAGCCCTGGAGAACTCTTTTCCTGCTGCATCTCGTCTTTTATCTAACTGAACATTATGATTAAATCCTCAGTAGAGGTGAATTAAAACTAAACAAGGAAATTCAGCAGTTTGGTTCAGATGTGTTGGAGAAGGAACGCGACTACTGTTACAGGATAGCCGCTAGCCAAGGCTGGACATGAGCATCGCTGCTAAAGCTACTTTCAACCATCAACTCAGTGAAGTAAATAAAACCTTATGGGAATTTATTTCAGGTTGCTGTTAAAAATCTCTTCTTGGGGTAAGAATTTAGTTTATAGTGACAATCAATGATTAGGTATTGCTGGGGCTTCAACTTTTAGCCTTTGCTTCGTTGATGCAAATGCAATCAATTTAAAATTAGCATTGAATACAGAAAATGTAAAGGTTACTTGCGCACTTTAAGAGAAATACTTTTTTAGATGAAGCTTGTGTCCCGAAGAGGCCCATTTATAAATGGGTCTGGATTCATATTTACTTGCGCTTTAAAAGCAGGGTTAGGCAGTCACTGTTGTCTGCAAAACAATGGAAAGAAGTCATAAACACTTCATTGTTGCTTATTAGCACAAGAAATACCATAAAACACAGTGACAGCTCTGGAGGAAACCATGCGACAATACCTCTGCTCGACATTGAAGTAATGGCGGCTCACAGCAGGGAGACTAGTGGAGAATATTCTGAATTTTTTTTTTATTATACTTAATTGACAGATAAAAACTGTACAAAAAAAATGGAAACGTAAATTTGGCCACAGTAAATCTGATCAGTCTGCATCTTTTCTCCACAGCGTCATTCATTACCAAACTCCACACCTTTCTTTCACCTGCTGCCTTTCACCTCCCGCAAAAGGTTCTCACTCGTTGCCCTTGGCAACCAGTGAAGCTACACCTCCGTTGCCGGGGCGATGGTAGAGCCCATCACCTCTAAAGGCTCTCTCTGTGTGCCTCCTCTGGGCGATGTTGTTTTAGTAGTCATGGTTACGCTATACTAACTTATGAATGGAGCTCAAACTCCAGACAGAAATGAACGATCAGAGGTGAAAATCTACAACCAAAGACAAAGTGGGAAAAGACTTCTGTCTGATCAAACTCACGCAGAACCTTTGAGGATGTCTCGCTGAAAAAAAAAACCTTATCTGTTTAGTGTCACGTAGCAGTCAGGCCGGCTGCAGGCCCCGTACATCACATCACTGCTGACAGCTGCAGCACAGAGACGCACATGCACACATAACTGGATGGAAAACCAAACGCTGATCTTTGTAGCTCAACAGACATGTGAGACAGGAAGAGCCTGAAAGCACACAAACATCCCTTTGAGCTACGGTATACGCTGCAAGGGAGCTATACCGCCGGAACCACAACGTCTTGGCATCGCCGCGGTGGCCATTTTGATTCCAGCACCACTGCAGACAAACAGCGGGTAAGAAGGTGACCGGTCACACTGGCTATTTCACTGCTTAACTCACACTTTGATCTCATCAACATTTCAGTCAAGCTGATTTTCAGTCATTTCCAATGAATGACTATTGAGAGGATGGCAAAAACGCCCTGTACTGTTCTTATTTAGTTTTTTCTCCTCAAATCCGACCTGCTGCCCCCCCCGGCCTCTCTATGAAACATCACATGGCTCTAAACTGGGACACATCCTACTTTGAGTGGTGATGACTGCCCTCACAACTGCCAGGATGGAAAGTTGAAAACGATAAATTTGTTTCTCCAAACATTTTGCTCTATTTCAAAACTTTTAAAACAAGGCCAAACAAGGGCAGTGTGAACAAGGAGGAGTCATGGCGGCCATATTTATAGAAAGAAATATTTTAGAATATAAATGTGGATATTGCACACAGAACCATGTGTTGGTGCCCATTGAGTCCCACGGATTTTCAGTCATTTTCAACCCTTTTTATGCCCTAACCCAATGCAAATTGGGTTTATGCCCTTACCAATGCATACCTCACCCTAACCCTAACCAATTGTCACCTCAGCCCTAAACCTAATCATTAGGAAAATAGCATGTGAGGACCGGCAAAATGTCCTCATTTTGCAGCAACTGGTCCTCAATTTGATGGTGAAATTGAAAAAATGGTCCTCACTCTGAGGGCTAGACAGGTACACACACACACAGTGTATAAAATCCAACAGAGTCAGAGCCGTAGGTTACCATGGATACTAACTGGTTTAAGGTGGACTTAATATTATTCAATACGCTACTAAACAGAACAGTAATGGCAGAGGAATGAGCGTCACCATTTTATTCAAAG